ATATATATATATATATATATATATATATATGGAGATATATATATATACAATTCAAGCAGTTTTAGTTAAGGGTAATCATTGGGTTTTTCTGAAACCGGAAAGTCACGAGTCTCTCTCTTTTTTCACTTTCACATCTCCAGCCAGGATGGTCGCAATTTCCCCTTGCATAAAGGCCCAGGGGACATTGGAGCCCACCAGAGGGCATTTTTCCCCGCTGGGACAATAGACCTCTCCGCTAGCTCCCTGCTGTTTGATGCTTTGTCTGGAGCAAGGGAAGCAGAACTTGTGCGAAGGGACAGACGGGCACTGCACAAAGTGGGTGTCCTCCAGCCGCTCGTGGCAGAGGGTGCAGCACAGGGGGGCACTGGCTGCCAGAGAAGAGTCTGGGAGGCTGGCAGGGTGCACTGGCTCCAGTCCTCCAGTGCTGCCTGCCCCCTGGCCCCCCACCTCTCTGGGGCCTAGCCTTCTTTGGTTCATAGACGACGGAGAGGGTGGACTGCTGCTATTCCTTCTGGTAGTGGAGTGAACCTGGTTGGCGTCTTTCGAGGCGTGACTGCCGCCTGCATTGTCTGCCACTAAGATCAGGGCTGCCATGGGGGACTGGCCGTTCTGAGCCGCTTCAGGCGGTGTGGTCCGGTTGGAATGAGGTGAGGCAGTGGGTGGCGGCGGAGACACAAAAGAGGATGTAGGAGTAATGGGGATCTTGAGCCCTTCTGTGGGTGTGGACAGCCATGGTTGTGCCTCTCCATTGATCTTAGGGGGCCCGACTTCACCTTCTGGTTCTGGAGAAGGCTTTCTTTTCCTCGCTGTTCTTGCCACTGGGGGAGAGAAAAAAAGAAACGGAAAAAAAGGAAGTAAGTGGATGTGTGCTGAAAAGGATCTCTCTCTTCCTAACACGAAACAAGACTCCCTAAAGAACGTCCATTCTCTCAGAGCTGGTCTATAAAATCTCACAGGAGTTTCAAGTGCACGTGCAAGTTAGGACACTTAGACCCGTGGGGCTCCGAGGCGGTATTGTAAAAAGCCACAGAACACAGCATGCACCGAGGAGCCTGTTTCTACACGTGCACGCACGTCCCCAGGTTAAACCGCGCATTCGATCGCCAACGTCCCCCAACAGGTTAAAAGGTGACTGGTGCCCTCATGCTCCCATCCAAGAATGTGCTGGGAAAGGAAAACCCTGTGTCAGTGCCTATCAGCCCAGTCTGACTCATCTCTGTTATGCTGCTTCAGCACATGAACACGTTGCCACTAAGCACTGGTTCCGCCTCAGGCAGATCAGGAAGTTGGGTGTTTGTTGTTTCTGGGCCGGGGTAGAACGGCGAGTGGAAAACAGCACCCCCTCCTCTGCTCTGCGTGCCCCTCTCTCCCCTAGAGCCCCTCACTCCACAGCCGCCCCTACCTGCTTTAGACCCGTTGGCCCCGTTGGCCTCGAAACCCAACAACCTGCCTGCAGTCAGGGCCGGCTCCTTCTTAAACTTGCTCTCGAAGGGCCCCGAGTGGCCGTGCTGGTGCAGCGCCAGCAGCGTGTCTCGCACGGTCTTGGGCCTGTTGACCCAGTCCTGCTCTCCGGGCCCGCGGCCTTTGCCCGCGCCCTCGGCGCCCAGCTCGGTGGGCCCGGCCGCCGCGGCCAGGCTGTCGGCCGCGCCGCGATGCGAGGGCGGCGGCGGCTGCTTCTCCTTGGCGGCCGCCTCGCGCTGCTCGTGCTCCGCGGCCGCGCTGCTCGATACGGACGCCGGCCGCTTGTGGGAGCTCAGTTCGGCAGGCTGCGC